TAAATCCCTCAGAATCACCAGTTCTCAACTCTACTCAACAAATTACAAGCTGTAATGAATCCAATCTTTCATCTCTCAATCAATCTTCAATTTCAAATTATTCACGTATGCCCACTCGTGGCGGTTCAAATATACGCAGACACCTAAGTACAGATTATTCTCCTGGTAAGAACAAATTATTCACGCAAAACTCTTATAGTGACATTTTGGACGGAGACGCTGACATGTCAACTTAACCTACTTTCCACTCCATGTCGCTAAAATTAAATAAAGAAACATTAAGAGACTTCTCAACAATTTTGATGAACTCCGTACACTCGTAAATGATCTCAGTTCAAACTTTATATCGCTTCAAGAGACCCATTGTAAAACCTCTTTTAATCCTATTCCACCCAAATCATATACTGGATACTTCACGAATGCTGATCAAAATTTATATTCCAAACAAGGTGGAAGGGGAAGACACCTGGTCTAGACCGCATCTCCTACCAAATGATCAGTGCGCTGTCTAATTCAAGTAAAAAGAAATTGCTGGGCCTATATAATAAGGTTTTTTTGACTGGCCATATACCCTACATGTGGAAACTGGCAGCAGTTGTTCCAATTCCAAAGTCTAAAAACGTGTCCATCACATCGGATTATCGCCCAATCTCTCTTTTATGTTGCCTCTCAAAGGTATTGGAAAAGATTATGGCATCTAGATTATCTTGGTTTCTTGACTCCAAGAACCTGATAACAAAGCAACAAGTTGGTTTCAAGCGGGTAGAAGGTGCATCGACATTTGTTACATATTGATTATTTCACAAGCAAAGCAATTTCCGAACGAAATCACGTAACAATTCTCTCAATTGATTTCGAAAAGCATTTGACAGAGTTTTGGTCTTCATGTTATTTTAAGACTCTTAAAATCATGGAATGTTGGACCCAAATTCTTCAACTACATCAAATCATTCATGTCGCATCGGCGGTTCAAAGTTAGAATCAACAATCATCTTTCGGACTCCTTTCCGCTAATGAAAGGCATTCTGCAAGGATCTCCTCTCTCTGTCATGCTTTTCCAGATCGCCTTCAACGAAATTAGCAAAATTCTTTGCCGAGTACCAAGAGTGGAACATTGTCTCTACGCGGAGATGTACACATTTTTACAAAAGAAAAAGACAACACGAAAGCAATCAACATCCTCGAATCTATTGGACGAGAGATCTCCGCATGGGCAAACTCGTCAGAGGCTAAAATTTCCATACAAAAATCTAAAAAAATGCACATTTGTCGAAAGCAGATTTGTGATGCAGGAAATCTACTAATGCATATTGTAGTGTGATCGCATACTATCGTATGCATCCACTTGAAGTGTGACAGAATTATGCGACTTCAGCATAATCCTTTTGCTAAAACAAAAATAAAATTTATGTCACACTTCACTACGGTGAGTATTGCATTTCGTAATGCAATACAATGCCGCATCCGAACAATTATAATTCTGTTTAGATAAGAATAATTTAGTGAGTGATAAGGATAATTTAGTAAACAATTACAATCTTGTTTAGATAAGAATAATTTAGTGTAAAAATTAAGTATAAATAGTGCCAAAGACAATAAAGAAATTTAGTTGTTATCAAACAATTCAACCTAGCGTTTAACTCGCTGGAAATACAAGGCGTTTAATCCGCCTGAAACATAAAGATTAGGGACCGTCTTATGCCGAGATTTATTGGCATTATAAAAGACGGAAAGACTTGGCGCACTGAAGCCGAGCAGCTTAGGGGTAAACTACGCTCCATCATTAAACAGCATTACATTCATTACACTATTAGTGGCTCACCAGCACTAAACGTACAGACGCTGCATATTCTCGGGCTCACTTTTTCCAACAATCACCGCTGGAAAGCACACTGTCTTCGGTTAAAAAATTCTATTTTAACAAGGGTGAATTTCATACAATACGTTGCTTGGAGAAGCCATGCGCATATTAACACTATTGCTTATCTTACCAAAATGCTTGTGTTAAGCAAGATTGACTATGCTTTGATAATTTATGGCAATAGCTGCAAATCTAATATCAAGATCCTTAAACCTGTCTATCACCAAGTCGTCAAAGCAAGTTGTTATGCTTTTCGGACGACGCCCATAAATAATATTATAATTGAAACTGGTCTCCCAACTTAAGAAAATAGATTTTATGAGTTAAAAGCCAAAATAGTCCCCAAGTTTCTTAATTCAAACATATCTATTCTCGGTGATGACGTGAAAAAGATTATTATTGCGAAGAAAATTCCAAAGTTACCCTCTGCAATTGACCATTGTGTGTACGTCGCAAAGGAATTGAATATTCCCTTAAAAATTTTCCGCTCTTTTGGTGTTAGACATCCATGGATTTTGAAAGACTGCTCTTTTGACATATCGCTGTCTATGCACAAAAAAAAATATACTCCAAATTACGTCTTCAGGAATCTAATAGCTGAAAAAACCCAACTATTGGAGAGTACTGGTTGGAATCTTTTATACACAGACGGCTCAAAATCTCTTGACCTGCCTCCTGCTTGTGCCGTAGTAGATGCTACAGGAGAGGTTCTTCTCAATCACATATTTTACGAAAGTACTTCAACTTTCACAACCGAAGCCAGAGCTATCCTTCACGCTGCGAACCTTGCCCATAAAAGCAAATTCAAAATCGTCATTGTTACCGACAGTTTGTCTGTATTACAAGCTATTCGGAACCCTTCGACTTCGAGATGGAGCACCATCCACAAATTAAGAAATATAATTACTACACCCGACGGAAAAATGAAAATGTTATGGGTAGCAAGTCATATCGGTTTATTGGGAAATGAGCAGGCTGATCGAGCGGCAAAGTATGCTGCTTCTGCTCCTCTAATTATGGATGATGTCATGAAAAGTTGGATCTTCAAAGATACATTGGAAGAAAAGTTAAAGTGAAAATTGCAGAAAGAAATTTACAATACCATCATCAACACTACTCTTCCATTAACCCTCAAATAATTCCACCTTTATATCTAACAAACGTTGAGAAAACCAAGATCCAAACATTTTCGAGAATTCGCCTTGGTCATAGTATCGCAACTCACCAATGGATCTTGAAGAAGTCTTCCTCCCCAATCTGCAGTTGTGGACAAACTCTCACTATAACGCACATTCTCTGCGACTGCCTTAACTTTTCCTAGAAGTATTGCATTTGGGGCGACTAACCCTTTGGACATTCTAAAATCAGCTTCAGAACCGAATACAAATTCAATATATTACTTTATTAATACTACTAAGCTCATTATCTAATGTACATTTATTTATAATAGAGCCGATAGCATGTGCTACTAGTGCTCAATGTTTTTTTTTTAGTCTAAGGATTTATTTCATTAGTCTAAAATTATAATAATAATAATTATAATAATAATAATAATAATAATAATAATAATACTCTAATAGCAAGAGTTTTGTGTTGCTTATCAATAACATCAAAAGCAAAAATGAGAAGTTTTTTCCATCAAAATTCGGTTAAGATTAGCGCATAAGCGAAGTTAGCATGTGCAAGGAGATTGGACATCCTCCAACTAAACATTTCGAAAAAGCGAGCAATAAAATTTGACTAGTATACGATATTATTCAGATGAATTTTTTCGCTTGGATTTCTGTCAGCTAGTATCTATTAAATCGTAATGAAGAAATCGTGATAGGAATAGAATTTGGGAAGGGAAAGGTTGCGCCATCAATGTGAGACCCTTCCTAATGCCTACAAATAATAAATTCTGCATTTAACGGCAACGGAAAGCCATCACGCCCTACAAATTTCCGCAACAAAGAAAATGCGAATTTATCAAGACGTAGAACTTAAATTCAGAAAGAACGTCACACAAACAAACAATACGCATCTTAAAAAATCCATCAGGAATTCAATAAGCTTGGCCAGCAAACTTATGCAAAATTCCTTTAAGTGAATAACAATAATTAAAAACTTAAAAATCATAGTCGGGTAGAGCCGCCATAAAAACTTAACCTCACTTTGCTTAACATACTTCACTTATTTTAGGAATAATATACCACAAATTATAGGTGGGGTTATTTTGTTCTAAAAATATTTTTTTGTTGTGTTTTGTTTGGTCCATTCAGTTGTGAGCTACAAGGTGAGAAAATTGGAAATCAACAAAGAAAAAATTCTGTACATTTGACAGTTTTTCTTTTATAAATGCGAAAATGCAAGCCAGGCAGCTGAAATTGTGAATGATGTTTATGGTCATCGGGACTGTAACAACCCATTACATTTAATTTTGGATTAGTCGATACCGTTCAGATATTCTTGATATTAAACACTCACTTCTCACAGGTGGGCCCGTCGTCGAAAAAGTCGACAAAATCACAGAAATGATTGAAGTTGACCGCAGTATTAGCATTCGCAGCATCACCCAGGAGCTAGAGATCGACCATAAAACAGTTTTCGACCATTTGCAGAAAGTTGAATTCAAAAAGAAAATGTTTGGATTCCACACTAATTAATACAAAAAAAAACATGATTGATCGAATTTTGCCAAAAGAAATGACACCGACCCATTTCTTAAACGGATGGTGGCTGGGGATGAGAAATGTGTCACATACGACAACATTGTGCAAAAACGACCGTGATCAAGCGACTCAAACGGTGATCAAACCAGAACTAACAGCCACGGAAGGTTTCTGGGGTATTTGGTGTGATTGGGAACGCATTGTTCGGAATCATAAGACCCAACACAAAATCGGATCTCTGACGTATTTATTCCACAAAATAAGTGGAATATAAAAAAATCTATGAAAAACATGACCATTTTGCAATCAGAAACCGTTGAATCTTTATAGCGACTGGATTGTATTACTGGTAAAATGTTGGATGATCTTTCTTCGAAATAGGTGTCCGAAATTTGTTTTAATTCAAATAAAAATAAATTTCAGAGTATATTAGCCTTTCTTAAAAGCTTTATAAGTTTTTGTGTCATCACGTAACACTGTCGACTTACCATTGAAAAACTTGATGACATCAGTAAAATCCATGCTATTCGATAATATTATGTCACGATAAGTTTCAAGAAGAGCCAAAGCCAAAAATAATACAAAATGACTGGAAGCTACATGTTTAGCAGCCCAGATCACTTCCCAAGCAGCAAAAATATCGTCGTAAATCAGTTCACGTTTAAAATCCAACAAAAACCAACGATAGCAAAAGTAGAAGTGTGTATAATCACCATTTGAATCCATCAAATCGTACATTTCTGAGTCCAATATTTGTATAAGGGATCTGTAAATAAAGTTAATTATGTTCTATTAATAACTACAGTTTATAGTGAATTTAAACAATTGTCACCACTCGACCTCATGTTAGCAAAGTGCATATCCATTGCACGGCCATTGGGAAAATTTTCAATCATTCTTTCCATTAATTTACAAAAACAACCATAGGTTAAAGCTTCATCATCGAATATAACCAGTAACGGGGCCAATAAATCGCACATGCCTTGCATATAACCTACTTCTAAATGCTCCCAGACGTAACTAGATAATCAATAATTTGTTGCTGTTCAATTTGGTTTAAATAAAATTTTCTGTTACTTACGTAGTTATTACATTTCTTAGCTTATCCAAATTCTCATTAGCAAAATACCAATAATTTCGATCACAACGTTGTACATCCTTCTCAATACGATGTAAATTTAAAGCAAAATTCTCTAAAAATTCGAACTAAAATGTAAACGTGAATTTTAGTTGAAATAAAAAAAAATCAAAAATTTAATTATACTACATATATAATATTCGGGTTAAACTTTGTACTCATGAGTTGTTTTATTTTCACTTTACCTACGCCATTTTGCGTAATACAACTCTTATATTCGACGTGAAATACAAAAAATATATCTTATTTCTAGGTAAAAGCCTACCTCAGTCCATAGATGGAAGCGGGTTCAAGACATGAGCTAATGTGGTTTAAATGAAGCAAATTTGCTTTACTTCTGAAATACTTTATGATTATTATTATTATTATTATTAAAAATTTAGCCAGAGAATAAATTCTAAAGTCTTAAAGCACTAGCATCTAAGGCTTTTGGCTTTATTACTTTTCAAAATGTCTAAATCATAGCATGATGTTAATGCCGTTAGAGATTTTATGAATAATGTATGTATCTTATAACTAGTGAAATCTTAGACACTATATTGTCTACAATCATTTTTTATACTTCTTATAGCCACTATGCTTATCTTCAATTTTGAAAATCCACTTTAATTAAACTGTTATTAACTTAGTTATCAATTTCTATTTAAACAGTATTTATTTAAAATAAATTTTGTTCACTATTAATAATTTCAAATCATTTTGTTTTGTATAGTCTATTTAAAGTCCACTTACATATTACCAGGCCTTCTTCCCGGTAACATTCACCTTAGAAGATTCTCTGTTGCTTCATCTAAAGAAGTTATTCACCTGGCCTTAAAAATAGTTGTGCCTACATCTATAGCAGGTTCTAATTGAGTATTGTTTTTTTATGCAGAAGTATAATATTGCATTACTATCTGCATTACTCTTATTGGCTATTTTCCCATTCATTCTTTAAAAGAATAAAATAATAATGAATTGCTATCAAAGGAGTCAAACCTAACGTTTTTTATTCCCGCTTTATAACTGGCAAAACCAAACCTGCTATTGCATTGTTACAATATGGTTTTACTTCAAAATAATCTTCAAAAATATTACATATCGACTAAGTAATGGATTTTCCTTAATGGAGCAGTCATCTTCGAGCCGCTAACTCTTGAGACTGCTTCAACACAAAATAATTTTTAGTTTTACATGAAACAGCATGTACGCAGCTTCTTCCGCAAGTGTTATATTCATGCGTTCTGTTAATAATTCTGTTCAAGGGGTTACGTCACACCAGCTCTCTACTCTTCTCTACTCTACTCTAAGGTTCGCTTTTACATATGTTGCCACGAGGGTGTTGACGTGCGTAATGTTCGATAGGTTTACGTTCACCTTATCCGCTGCTATTTTCCTTCAACATTTCTCCATGCTAGTGATGGGAAGATGGTCATTTGACGCAAACTTTAGGAAAATACAAAATACCCTGTTATCCGATGTACCAATAGCATTCAGCCTGAATACTATAGATACTACATCTCACACATTCACAAAAGTGTAATCTACCATTTGAACGAAGCAAAGTTTCGTGAAGAAACTCATACCGCTCTGCAAGCTCGACTCATAAAATAAACTGTTTTGTTTAGCAGTAGAGGTACCTTGTCCGTACATATCTTTCCAAATTAATACGAGTCTAAGTCTGGCTTTTTTTTTCGTTGGCTGCATTAGTGAACGTAATTTCTACCCAAAACAGATTGTTCCAACACAATTTGTGCCCTGATTTCGAAACTACAATTGGACATATTAACTGATCTGGTAACCATTTTCTTAAATACCTTTGCAACTCTAAAGAGCTAGACCAATCGACATAGTTATAAATTCGAGTAAGACAAATAACGGAAGAGTATTCAAGTAATCACCTTCTTCTCTCTTTAACCATATAAGTCGTCAACGGCTAACATCAGACAAACTGAGATGTAAAAGAATGCGGTAATTTTTCTCTTAAAAACATTAAAGGTTTTGAAAGTAAGTAACGCATTCCAGGATCAAGCTGAATGGACAATAAATGAGCGGTCGATCAAAAAGGGAGCCAACAAAAGGGGTCCCACTCGACCTAGAGAACTGTTGTCGTCCAACTAGAAGATCGGACGATTGTAAGCAATAAAAAGTTTTTAGAGATATATACAAAACTTAAATTTTAGGTAGCCTTAGATGAAGAACTTCAAAAAAGCATGGATGAAAGACCAAACGTCTAATCTCGACGATGTCTAAGTTTAATATTATCGACAAAACGTGTAATGAAGCTGACAATAAACTTAAGCCTATCAAGTTACGATGAGCAGCCAGACATACCTACAATACAGTAATTAAAAAGCCACGTGAGAAAAGCATGCCCAATAGTATACCTTGATAGGCAGGTGCAAGTTCAAGCAGTACTATACAAGCAGTATAATTTCAACAGGATAAAATATTTTTTAGCAGACATAGTGTGAAAGTGCAGGCTAAAGTTATGTTTTCGATCAAAAAGTTCCCAAAGAGAAGTCATACCGTCCGCAAATTCGGACTGTTTTCCACCGTTCAAGGAATAAATAGGCCGTGAGTATGGTGTTAATAATACACACTAAATGGATTCTTATACAAGGAAAGATCATACTTGCAAAAAGAATGATCTCCTCTAATGAAGGCATTAAATACTGGCATCTTATATACGTTTGGCAAGTTTAGGATGAAGAACTCATTAATAATATTTACGTCCAGCTCATCATACTCGACCCTATCCCTTCTCTTCTGGCGTATCTTCATCTCATATTTTTTAAGATTAAAATTTTCAAAAGAGCTGTTGCAGGCTCAAAAATTTCGCATGACTTCGCAAAAATAGTCACTTCATTTAACAATCAGAGGGGATCACATATACTGTTTGTAGAAAATTTCTCTAAGATATATGACATATAAAATGTCAAGTGAATGACGCTAACTGTGGGCCTTGTTACTCGCTAAATATTCAGAGTTTGGGATGTGATCCAAGATATGGTAAAAAATTTTGTTCAGAGCTTCAACCTAGTAGTCAACTGAATTAAAAAAGTACGTAGAACTAAAGTCAAACTCACTAACTAATAGATGCATTCGCGCTAGATTTCTTAAAATTTGTGTAGTAAAGGATCAATGCAACTCTACTGACTTTAACAGGCAGCGATAAAAAGATTAGTGAATGATGTGAAATATCAGGTACTACAGCCTGACCATGCTAGCCCAAATTAAGATTCTCGCTTAATTAGAATACAATAAAGATATTGTTCAAGCTGTTTTAATTTGCTACGGATGCTAGTGCAATTAAGTTGATCTATTTTCATTATTGATGGAGAGAGAATAGGAATACGAACCCTAAGAGGATCGTTGGTTAAGAATACTCATGTGAAGTTCGCGAGATAAGCGTGTGACGGAGTTAATAACAGAATTTGAATACGATCACAAATTTGAGATAAGTTAGAGGAAGTGAATCAACGATCATTTCGTGATCGGAAGGAATATAATTTATGATGGGCGTCATAGTCTCGGGATTTGCAGATTTTACATTGGAAGGGGAGATCGTGATTTCTGGAGTTGGTTGGCACTGGGACAGTAGACTCAGTGTTTGATCGTTTCATAGTTTGTTTAGAAGCCGGAGGAGAGCACTTAGGGAAGCTCTCAAGAGAAATTGAAATATTTGGATTACTTCGGTGTGTGTAAGTACTCTGACAACAAGATTAGACTCGCGTATTGAGACGTTCTGCTGCGTTTTTTTTCGGGCAATTTGTTTTTATGTTGGAGAAGCTTTGAAATTAGAAAGGTGATCACCCTTGCAATTAATGCATTTTTTAGCAATGCGAGGACATTTTGTAGAGCAATCATAGCTTGTGCCACAAGAAAGACAGAGTGGATTTTGGCGTGAGCATAACTTATCAGTGTGCCTGAAACGCCAACATTTGCGGCATTGTAATGTCGGCTCGACGTATGGTTTAACCGGAAAGTCAATGCCTTCCAAACAGATGTGGGTAGGCAAAACATTCCTGGAAAAACTCAAAGGAACTTTGCTCAACCGCACCCGAGTTAGAGGAATAGTCGAATTTGTAGAAGCGTATGACTTCTGTAGCTTGGCACATGCGCTTGAGTGGATTTCAACTTCGGTGGAATTAGAGGGGGTAGAAGCGACCTCACGGGTTGCACATAATTCGGACAGAATATACACGTTACAGATGTTGTCAACTGAAGTATTGGCGGCAATAGATTTTGCCGTAGCCGCATCGGAAGAGATCAAGATGATTTTTTGTTAGAGACGAAAAAAATCTCTAAGCTATGGAAATCACGATATAAATTTCGGTCATGTTCGATTATTGGCAATGCATTTTTCCTGGAATGAATAAATACATTATACTCACTTTTGGTATGGGTATAAACTCTGGCCTTGGGGATTTTCATGGAGATGGTGTGGCCCTGTGGCGAAACCATATTTCGCCAATTTAGTTTTGTAGATTCAGAGATGATCAACAGTCAAGTTATGAAATGAAATGGATTCTAAGTGTGTAGTGATGTTTTTTGAGTGAGACGAGTTCCGCAGTGTGATTGTAACGTTGTTCCTATTCCCAAATTCCACTTTTTCAGATGTTTCAGCTATTGTCTTTTTATTTGGATATAAGGAACTTTTTGTGTCAACTGCGTTGCACAAACAGTTATTTGTTTTGTTTTTGCTTTCCCATTTGAAATGACTTCATAATGACTTTTAAATTTCAATTATCGGTAAGTTATTAATGTGTTACTTTTGCACACTTTCACAAGGGTTTTTTAGAGTTCTCTTGAGTATAATATGCCAATACAAATAATAAATTCAAAAAAAAAGATGATAGGTTTATAACATATGTACACATAGCTGAGTAACTAACTAAAAGCTTACAAAAGTGTAATAATCGTGCCTCTAGCAGGACCTTGTTAAGAATTTTGAATTTACCAATTTTCCCACTTCTCTTTTACTTCCTGTGTATGAAATTTTGTTTTAAACATAATGGTGTCAAACTTTCGTTTATATATACTCGTGACCGTATGCGACCACCAATAATATTTTTTTTTTTTTTTTTTTTTAAGTTGTGTATAAACTTGGTAAGACAAGAAAAAATTTCCGCACGCCACTATGTTTATGACAGCCAAATTATTAATGTAACAAATGATTTTTTTAATTTCAACGAAATTATAAGAGGAAGGTTGTATAAAAACATTTCTAAGAAGCATATCCACAAGCGTCAAATTTCTTTCTAATTTCTAATTATGAATCAGTTGATTTATCCCAGTCTTGTGCATTAATCTGTCCAGGCTGAAAAATTAAGTGCTTTTATGGCAGTATCATATTTGTAATAATATAGACAAATTCTTCAAGACTTCAATTAAAAATAATATAGACAAATATAAGTGAACTCTCAACTGATATATTCTTCAACGACGACCAAGAATATATACTCTGCAACACGTATTTCTACGCACATTGACCGAAAGTTTAAGAAAAACAACTCTTGAAATACTTAAGTACTTGAAAGGATTGTAAATGCAAACCATTTAATTAAATCTTAAGAAACTCACACTATACACACCGCCATTGGAACTGGCCGGTGATACGCAAGCTGATTTGGGCTCTTTTAGTGCCTCAAGAGATGCTACTACAGTTATATCCTCGTTGATCGGTGAAGTCAAACTGGTTTTACGTGACGTATTTTCAGTTTGCTCATCAGTCATGCATTCTAAGGTATCATTTGACGCAGCTTGCGTTATAATCACCGCATGTGTAAGTTTTCTGTTATATGCGCTATTACCATACCGTACATCATCTACGCTATGATATTTACGGTCATTATCTTCGGGTACTCCTTCTGCATCGTCCTGTGAGATTTCTTCCGTCTCTACATTGGCGGTACTATTTATTGCATCAACAAATTCATTTCCGACAGTCTCATAAGAAGAAGTAGAAGGAGAACTTTTTATGCTTAACAAAAGCAAACCACTTTGGTCGGGGGTACACACCATTTCTAGTTCCGTTTCAGCAAAGCAATTATCTTGCAAAACTAAAGACTCCACGGGGTCAAGATTTTCAAAACTTAAAATAGCTTTTTGAAATGACCGCTCTCTTTCCGCAGAACTTACTTGTTCTTCTTTTTTAAGGTCGATGGAGCCTTTCTTATTTTTATCATTAAACGTATCTACACCATTTTCCAGGATTTCCACACTACTTTCATTCTCAAATCTTGTTCGTAATTTTTCACCATTACATGGAATGCTTGTACCATTTTCCCCTCCATCCCCACAGTTTCCAATATCGCTTACGACGTCGTCATCAAATTCTATACCTGTATCCGAAAAATCAGAATTATCGCGGTCATCAAAGACGTCATTATCCAAATCGATATTGTAATTTTGTTTTTCTGTAGACTCGCAGGTAAATTTGTTCGGCAGGCTTGAATTGTTATATTTGTTTTCTAATGATATTTTCGCTAACGCGTTGGCATTTTGCTCTTTCTCACGTTGACGAACTATAGCCTCTACAGCCAACCATTCACTCATTGTCGTTTCATAATAATGCTTAGTAATATTGTCAACTTTTGTACGCTCTTCAGTTGTCGAACCAAAGCTGAAGGGTAGTGAAAAATTGTAAAATTTGTTGACTTAACATAAAATGCTTACCTGTAATGGCCTAAAAGATACGGCCAAACTTCCTGACGTAATTCATGAACCACACCACCAAAATACACTAAACGATTTACCTCATCTTGATTAGTTATGACACCATTTTCATGCATGGTTTCCCATTTTTCTTGAGTCAAGCCAAATCCATCAGCAGCCACTAAAAGTAGGGTTTAAAAAAATTTATTAGAGTCAATATAGCAAAACACCAACAAAGTCGCATGTTCAAAAACAGGAATTTTTACAGTTTTGAAAAGCGATGTAAATATGAGACCGTGCCATCTCCGAAGACTATGTTCGATGCTCCCAATAATTCTTAGTATAATTATATAAGATTAGATAGATTTTAATGAGACTGGCCTGGTATAGTTTTACCGGTTTCAAGCTAATCAAATAATGAAGCTTTTACATCTCAACAAACTTATGATTATTTATGATGATTAAAGAACCTACCGACAGATTAGCGATCATATGAAAAGTGAAATATGGACACAAGAAAGCAGCTATGTTTTTATCAGAGATCGAACTAAATATAACATAAAATTAAAAAAAACAGCAAAAAAACAGTTCTGCAGGCTACTGCTACAAATGAATATGCTATACATGCAAAATTGCCATTTGATTAGCGGGTAAAAGAGCCTTTCCTATTTTACAAGGACATCCGAATTTATGTCGACTGAATGAATACTCAGCATAATTAATTGTAAGAAAAACTCGTTTTCATACTTTTTTCTTTAAACCATTTCATCAAATGGCTAGTCAGATAAGACGCAGTGTTTGAAATGTTAGATCTGGTTTAACGTGATCAAAACTTCAAAAGATACTTACAACTCGGTGTTATGAACCCGTGCACTAAGCCTGATAAATGAGTACGTACTGTAGACAAATGTCTACAATATGCTAACCAACCATAAAATGCTCTCGAAATAATTTGACGTCTCATTGTAGAACAAACCAATTCTATGCTGGTCGTTTGAGTTATATGTATCTAGTGAAAAAGTAATCTTTCAATCAGCTTCTTAATCACAAATATTCTTTAAAAAATGTTACCAAAGGTGTATCAGTCACACTTTGTTCCATTGATAGACTTTTACTCGAACAATCGCTGCTCCCCGTTGTTGAACAGCTGCTTAAATGTTTACGTCGTGGACTAGTACATCCCAGCTCTAAAATGGAATGTATAGCGACTAAAAGGAAGTAAAAACTTCTAATAATTTTCCAAAGGACATAGCAATTAACCGTACCGAACTCTTCATGCTGACTTTTACCAACGACCCGGAAGACATAATCAATAGGTGTTTCAACTGCGGTTTCCATTACCGACGGTAAAATTGTTCTTCTTACACTTTTTGTCCAAGGAAACATTTTCCCAGTACTTCGCTGGGACCATAGTGGTGGATCTAATTGACCATGCGGTAAAAGACCGGTCTCTAAACAACTTAAAAATGCTTGCATATGACCCCCTTCTGGAAAATTTATAGGCGGTCGTTGCACGCCGTCTTGCCCTACTAGTATTATAATACCACCTGTATCGTCGCCACGATTCTGATGGCAATGCACATAAACGATTTCGTCAACATTGATGTTTAGAGCATATGCCCAATAAATGTTCAAATCGTTAGCATCACTGTCACTGTAACCGTTCATTAGCTGATTTGGGGTCCATTTAATCGTTAGCGACTGTATGGTTTGATGAAGACTTAAATAACCGGGAAGAGGTTCGTTGAGATCCTTCTATATACGAAATTTCAAAAAGTTATATAAAATTCAAGCAATTCACTGAAATACTTACTGGTAGAACAAGGACATTGTTTTTACCATACAGTAAAGTAGTCCGGGTATTTTGATGCAGGGATTCCACATAATCTTTAGCTACAGTGGCTGGTGAACTTACTTTATATGAACTACTGCTAGTATCTTCTGAACTCGTGTGTAAGCTACGCTTAAAGTTTATCAAAGGACGATGACAAGTAGGCGGGGTACGATTGCCCGAACTTATGCGATGCCTTTGAATCTAACACAAAAGATTTAATTACAATAATTAAAAACGTCCACATCATTGTATATAACTAAGTATGCGTTCTTACCAATTCATCGGCTGGAGGATCTGACCAATAATGATCAACTGTTTTAGCTTTGGTGAATTCCAAAGCGCATGGACCTACCAGCAATGAACTTAATATAGAACCGTAATCAGTGTCAGCCACCAAAGCGTCGCGATCATAGTAACTGCTAGCATTACTAACTAAATGCTCAATTATCTTCGATAAACGTTTTTCGTACAAGGCCATCCGTATCCACAAGTATCTTTCGAGTAAAACAAGCTTTGTTAATGCCTCCATTTTCGTAAACAACAAATATCGCTTCTCAATCGGAAAGGTAGTAATACTTACTTTACACCCGTCTGTGAAGTCGATGTGCCGGACACAGCGTTGATCGTTGTTACCGAATTGCTGCTAAAACCTTTGTTTAGCAATTTTGGTTTAATAATGCTATCGCTACTCGAGCAGGAACGTTTACCCGCCACTACACAGCTTTCAGTTGTAATTTCAAAATCTAACAAGCGGCGACTTATATAATCTGCTTCCGGACAATTTTTGGAAATTTTCTGTATCAAAGCCGTCGTAGAGGAAGTTTTAAACAGACCTAAAGCTCTTCGTCGAAGACCATGACTTAAAGAAGCTTCCACAGCGCCACATAACGACGTCACGGAACTGCTCTCTTCATGCACATAATGTTTAGTTACGGCCTCTTCCATTAATTGTTTCACTTCTTTCTTCACGTTAGCTATCAAACGCTCTTTAAGTTCAGCATCTGTGGCAAGAAAACGGAAGAAAGTATTGTTAATTCGAGTGATTTCAAATTCTTTCATGTATTTATTAGTAATATTACAAATTCTACGTACATTCTCGTCAATTTCAATGTAGATCTATTTATGGACGTTAACTTCAGCATATATGTATTAAAATTTACAACAAACACTATCTGCATAGATAATAGCATAGGTATTTAGGACTTGAGCACCTATTATTTGATATTGATTAGCAAAGAAGTGGAAACCACATGCTAGTTAGGATTGTTGCCTTCAGTTGTCCATGAAAATGCTGGATCATGCTGATTTCTTAAGGGTTATAAGGAGTCTTATGATATCGTGAATGCGTAAAATTTTTGTTTGTCTTCGATAAGGAAATGTAAAATAAACTTACTTCCATAATCACTCGTAATTGTGTGAGGTGCACCAAAACTGACAACGAACTTAATGATAAAAATTTTGGTAATAATATTTGCACAGATTTCTCCCATTAGTCACATTTTAGATGACCGTGATGGGCGTCATTGGACGAACAAAACAGACCGACAACGTCTGCGTGTATAGTCCTAGGACCATCTATTCCATGTGCAAGTTTTTTTTGTTACGTTTCGAAATTTTTTTTACTTGCGGCATGACATCTATTTGCTTCACCATGATTTCTGGATTCTGGCCAAAAGTATTTCTCAGCTATTAATCAGATCGTAGCTCTACGTGCTGGATGTGTAATGGCATGCAATTTTTATGGCTCCTTTGCATCATATTTCGTATGTTAGGGTCGTCACTTCCGTTTGTTATCTTTTACACTATGCATTTCTACATTACTTTGAACCTTGATTTCGAAAACTCTGAGTAAAGAGTCCGCAATAATGTTTGATTGGCCTCTAACCTATTGAATATCATTAATAAGTTGGACAATATATTCACCATGAATTTGTTTTTCCACGGCTTTAGTTAGATCTTGAACCTTAAAGGTCTAATAGGTTTCTTGCGGTATATTTATCATGAAAAAGATTATTATAATTCTCGACCAAACTCCCTATATTTAATTTCAGACAAACAAAATTTTTTGAAGCTGAAACCAATTAACCTGATTTAATTAATTATTTGAACAAACAATATCTTTCATCTGCTGCAAAGCTATCCATTGAGATCCATTTGCGGGAAATGCAGAGATGAAGCAACTGACAAGAGAGGAGGTATGCAAATACCGGATTCAACTTAAAGTTTAGACCCTGCTTTGCTGAGATGCGATGGTGGATGTGTTCCTTTCGTAATCAATCTCCGGGCGATGAGGTACTTGACTAACTTGGAAATCTCAACGCCTAATCTTAACCTCGGCAATTCTTTAAGTAGCCTCACGTATTTTTTTGTCTATGCCTAGCCACTTAGAAGCTATCCCTTACCACTGCTAGTAAAGCGTTGCAGAGTCGGGCAATGTAATTAAAGAAAGGTGAGCCTCAGTGGTTTGTCGTACGATATGGAGGCAATTTCAGGATGAGTCAATGGGAAAGATGAGAAAGCCTTATGGCTCTTGTAAAGGGCTTAAATGGTGGGCCTATCATTTTTATCTCTGCAGAACACTTGCCCCGAAGGTACCTATACATAACCCTCATGTAGCCCATATTACACCGATATAGAGAATATCGAAAGTTTCGGACACACCTTTTCACCCATGAAAACGTAAACCTTTCGTTGTGTGCGTACTTGTGAGTTATAATCTAATTTTGGCTGAATATAACCGGTGTAAATAGTACGGTGTAAATAGTAAGTCGCTCAAGCCCTTGACTGGATCTTTAACACTTCGAAAACATGTTTTGTCCAAAGAACATCATTGTGTGTTCTGATGCCCACAACAGGAAGGGTTACCGATTCTTCTATATCGTTGTACACTTCAGTGCTGCTACGCGTACTGATGGAACAAAAGGGATGGAACAAAGCGCTGTTGTCGATAGCGTTTTCGCGGACAATATTGTCGTTGGGTGAAATAGTTGCCTTCGCTTAATGTCAGTCATCAGCTCCAATATCTACTTTAGGTTTGTTTGTCCGCACTATTCTGAAAAGTCTTTATGTAGGAAAAAATTGCAATTTTTAAAACTTCTCCGCAATAGAGCTAAGAAGTAATATTTCGGTACTCTATATTGTTGTGAAAGCTTTAGATCGGCTGGCGTAATCTTTTGATCCCTCTCAAATATAGTCGTTTCTACGGAGTCTTTACACGACAATAAAAACTTCGAATTTTCATATTAAAAACTGGCTCATAATAACACATTGACAAAGAAGTCGACCTTACCGAATTTGGACTACGTAGGTCTATTTGTTAAATATCAGTTATAAGCATTCTTATGAAACGTAATTGTTAATTGTTTGGTGATGAAAAATTGTTCAGATAGTAATTAAATAAAAAAACTATGTCGACCTAATTTGAGCCAGATGGCTCTTTTCCTTGGCTCTGTTCTATACAAGATATCTCACGACTACTATGCCCTTCGGAAACAGGCTTAATTTTTTTTAATGTTTTATGATGAAAATTAATTCATAGTAGCCTCTCTGCAACAAACTGAAATAGTAAATATTTGTGTATTCTATGTGAAAATTAGATTGGGAGGTATAAAGGTCCGGCCATGCCTAAATATAATTTTCTTCTCGCTAAGGAACCCTTTTTTGCACCAATTTTCTAATTTTGTCTATATCTCACGTAATTTTGTATTGAAGTTTTGTTGTACAGAAGTTTTATAATAATATTGTTTTGGATAATAATATATTAAAGCTACCTTATTTTTAATAATTGTTTGAATTGGGCACCTATTCCGCAAGAAAAATGATTGATTATTATGCGTTTCCCGCCAGTTTTTTGACCTTCGCATTCCATTAAGCATAATTTTGTTTGCTTTTCTCTGTCTTCAAAATATGCTGGCCGACCTGCAGACGCAGTCTTAGGTCCAACGGAAGGATTACGTTCGGTTGCGTTTCGGAAATCAAAGAGGAACTCACGACATTGTCTGAATATTTGAAAAAATTAAAACAATAATCAATTAGTTCCGCTACTTGGAGCACTCAGCGTCCCCTTAAATTTGTAAAAGACCAACTAGCAGCGTAGATGGCGTTCCTTCACCTCCATCCCAGTTTGGTCGCTACTCTCCCGTTCCGTCCACGATAGAGTTTGTGCGCTAGTTGTACAAGCAAGTAAAATCACTCCCTCTAACCTTTCCGCGGCTAAAGATTCTCAATCCCGAATTCTTAATGCATCTACCACGAATGACGCCCAATTGACAGCTGTACTGCCACGGAAAGCAATATGTGCGTCAAGACTGTCGCCGAACACCACATGTGATAACATAGACAGATTACCTTGCCGCAAAATTCCCATCCGTCAATTTAAATCGTAATTAATCATTATGTCCGCATGGATCCTTAGTAAAAGAATTTATTCCTCGTGATAAATCCCAAAAATTTTTCTTTTTTTTATATATACATATCAGCTGTGCTTCCATCGTACTCATTTGAATTTCCTTCTCCTGTCGATGTTGGACTTATTGCCACTAGGCGAAAATTCCTGATAAACAGTTATATGTAATTTGTTCCCATCAGATATTTTTATTTACTTACTGATATGGTCAGAGTCTTGGGGAATTTTAATTTTCCAGGTTGTATGGCATCCTCTTCAAGATCTGATAGATCTACTTTATACAAATGTATTCCTAATTCTAATATCGGACAGTCAAATCTTTGCTTTGTCAATTTTCCTGAAATAGTTGAAAATCGTTGTCCACCTTTTAGTTTACCCGAGAATCCTTATTATCCAGCAATTAGTGTATTCTTTCACTACAAGCAGAGTGGCGTTGAGTCATTACTATATGTTAAATCCCACTTCCTCAAATATGCAATGTGATTTCAATAAAGCTAATAATTTATTGATTAAATTTCATATCGCACACATGAAACTCTATTTATTTGCTCAGAATAGAGAAGCCTTGATATTCCTGTATTGTAATGAATTAAACCTAGCTATTTCTGCATCCATTCCAATTAGACAATCCCCTTTCGAAGTATTTGACCACCACGGTTCAAAAAACTAGTTGATTACTATAAAAATAAAAAAATTGAATTTTTCAAAAAATGTATGACAAGTGGCTGTGACTACTTCTACTACTTATTGCAGGTATTTTCAAATTAAAAAATTTTCACTTCTTTTTAATACTACAAAATTTTTATAAATATCCATACAGTCCATCTATCCTTTTTTAATAGCTCCGATTCCTCCGATGATATTGCAAATTTGAATCTCTTTTTTAAATATTTCCGACAACATTTTTCTACCGCTGACTTCGGTCTAACTATCCATACCAAATCATAAACTCGATTTCGATTCCAAATTTGGTCATCTCAGAAAACGATTTATTACAAGGTTTCAGGTCGCTAAAATATAGTTTGGCAAATATGGAAACTGGCATCTCGTTAAGCACTGAGTGGCATTGACAAGATGAGTGTCTTACTTAAATTATTTGAACCAAATATTATTCAACAATTAGCTTTCGCCATCAAATGTTCTATTTCTCCACTTCACCATGATTTGCTAAAAGGAACTGTTACTATCCTTTTATAGTTTACTTGACATATCTTCAAGGCATTTTCCAATGTCCTGCGCGTCGACATCGTGTACCCTGATTTCCGCAAAGCTGTTTACCTAGTTAGCCATAAATTATTGATCTTCGAACTACAGGCTTCATGTTTTCCTGCATATTCATTGAAATGCATAATCATGCAGGATTCTGTTTCTCTTTATTGCCTCTAATGAATTTCCCGTGACGTCAGGTGTCCTTCAAGGCAGCCATTTAGAACCTCTATCTACTCATCGTATACAGCAGTTCCCGCATCTCTTTTAATCTGGCTTAAGTAATTTGGTTATATGATGCTCATTAAATTTTAAGAAATTAAGCCTATCAAAATACAAGACGATTTCATTCTCGAGAAGTAATTCATTCACTACTGAGTGTTTTATCGAATCGCAAATATAGAAAAGTGTAAATTCTTTCATAGATTTAGGGATTCTATTCGACCAAACACTACGTTATAATTTGCACACGGAACATTATTTAAATAAAGATTAATAAAGGCTAGATTTTATTAAAGTGTGGTCCAAATAGTTAGATGATCCTTTCGTTATAATAGGGCTATACATGAGTTAAGTTTTTTTGAAAGTTTTCAAAAATAGTTCCTACTCTTTGCCTTTAAAAAGTTGGACTGAGACTACCTTATCTCAATGCCTGTTTATACAAATACACATCTTCTCGGAAACGTAGACTTAATCGTAGTCTTTCCTTCTTCGATAAGCTAATAAATGATACGTGTTCATGCATAAATATGCCTATATGCACGGTTCATTTCTTCCTTTCGTTAGTTTCGTTTGCCGTTGTGTGTATATCCACGCGTGTATGGTAGTCATGCTATGAGTATGAAATTTTGCTTTATTTGCTTATACATTAAAAAAGTTTGTAAACAGCGACAAGCGATATTGTTCGTGTCAGCATATTTTGTGTAAGTGAAGATGATCCTATCATACTCTGTTGACATGGACAAACAATTCATGATGGCCATCGTTCTCACGCCCTGATATATGAAACATATATAGTTTATAAGATAATCATTTTAATATATAAGCGACTGTCTTCGATTTAATAAAGCAGATGAAATTATCACTTCGAATCAAAATCACGTCTTTAATTCTTTATCACGGAGTTAAAGTGCCTGAAAGCCATTTCTATAATTAAAAAATCCTCAACAATTAACACAAGTTCATGTGTTTGTGTTAGTCGCTAGCCAGAGGATTAACCACTACTATTGGCTCGCCAGCATCATTAGATAAAATACGACGTTCTTAACCGTTTCTCTAGGAACTTTATTTTTTCTATTTATTTCTATTTATCCAACGTAGATGTAATTATGGGCTTTTTAACCCGTTTAGGATTTGCCAAAATTTAAAAGGTATCTATCGTTTTACCTCAATATCGGATTCTTTAAATATTATTAATTCCACACTCCTTAATAAGCACGCTCTGCCCATGTCCTGTCGAAATTTATTTTCGATCTTTATATCTTCGTATAATTCGCGGATTTAATTGGATATGTTCGCCGTTATCGATTACCAAGCTTTTGCATGTTCTGGGGGGTTTGTCTTACGGATTCACTCCTAATTCGAAGCTACGCCAACTGCGAGTGTAGCTCCGTACTAGATGTGTACATGAATTTATTTCTTTTTTTCTCTTATTTGTTTGTACATGAATTTCCTTTCTGTATTTGTTCTTCATCGTTTCTTCTCTATTTTTGATTATATACTTTGTAGTTTAGTTTTAATACTCAGCAAACTATTTATTTCTAAAAATCAATCGAATTCGGCTGTTAATTTATTTTTGCTGAATACCAAATATAAATAACAAATAATTAAAATAAAAAAAATCTCTTCCCAAATCTCGTCAGATGTTTAAAAATTCAGTGTTCTATGTCGAAGTTTGCTTCTTTTTGATCATCTTGTCACGCTTGCTGTACATTCACTTGAAAAAATATTTAAGTGACCTAACAGAGTGAATGTTCCGTCTTTACAAAACTGGATAAAGGCTTGTCAAATACAACCTTTCAAAAACGTCAAAAAAATCTCTTCCCAAATCTCGTCAGATATTTAAAAATTAAGTGTTCCATGTCGAGGCTTGTTTCTGTTGTCACCTTTGCTGTACATTCACTTAAAAAAATGTTTGATTGACTGATGTTAGTTATAGTTATTATTTGAACAAACACCGAACAGAGTGATTGTTCCATCTTTACAAAATAGGATAGATAGATAGAAGCTTGTCAAATACAACCTTTCAAAATCGTTAGCTTTGCTTTCAATTCTAGCTTTAATAACTTCTTTTATGAACAATGTACAATGGGCTCATCCGAAATAGCTTCTGATAGCAAGTAAGATACAACTAGTCATTGTCCTAACCGAGTGAAATGATCCTGATAGTACTTGCTATTCCTTCACATACTTATAAGAACTATGTAAAACGAAAACGAATTAACTAAACGCCTTAGAAGATTCTAATTCGCATTATGAAAAAAAACTTGAGAAAAACAGGAAATAAGCAGACAACAAAAAATGACAACGGCAACAACCACAACAGGACCTTGACTTTAACAACATCAATACAGTCTTTATAAAGTTTATAAGATCCATACTAAAATACAACTGAATAAAGAAGATAATATTAGCAAACATCTGCACACTATAGGTGGACAATCGTACATATACGTACACATATCATAACGGTCCGTACTACTACTATTAACAGCAAAGACCAATTTCTTTTCATAACTTTGTTATATTATTTTATGATTTAATTTATTTGTTTTACTTGTTTTGTTTGTTGATTTACTGCATTAATTTTACTTTCATGTTTTATTTTAAACAGCTAAAAACGTAGATTGTGTTTATCTTTGCTTATCACGAAGACTTGCTTATATATTTGCGTCTATGGTCAGACAACACAATAAAGTTCGTATTCATTCTGAGTTGGGATACGTAGCAAAATCGCTTTAGCCTTTTGTCTTAAACAGTTAGTCAATTGACCACTATTATAACTATTCGATCACTATTACAAACTTTCTTTAGAAAAGCAAACTTAACCGATGTTTAAGTCCTTTGCGATGCTCGTCTCTTGACCGGAAAAACCAAGTGAGTCGCTTTTTAGTTCCCGTTATAATTAACAAACATCTTCTGGACTTTAGGTGCATATATCTGTTATGCGTTACTTGAGTTATATTATTATTATTATTATTATTAATTTCGCCAGAGAAATAAATTCTAAGTCTAAACTCTTAAAAGCACTAGCATCTAAGGCTATCGGCTTTTATTAAAAACTCTACCGCACTTGAGATTCGAACCCACGACCATTGACTTGCTAGTCGAGATTCCTCGCCTTCGGCTACTCAGGGGGATTACTTGAGTTATAATTTTTATCCTATGCTAATATCTTTTCTGGTATTTAATGTCAACTGTGCTACATATTCTTTAAATGTGTCTACTATGCACTTTTTATTTGCCATGTTACAATTACAACAAAATTACGATTTCATAGCATGTTACATTACAGAATTAAAAAAGTACAAGGCCAAAAAGAGAACGAATAATAAGAAAAGATGCGCTCTAAAGGCTTAACATATGTTGACACTATGAACGCTGTTATACACACACATATGCGCGCGAACATATGTCAATTATAAAAGAGTAAAAGAATGGAACACTTAATATTTTGCGTCATTAAAGAAAAAAAAAAACAGAACGGCATAGCACAAAAATAAAGACACTACGTAGGCAGAAGCAAATATAATAATAACTTACCTCCATCACATCCCCCGAAGCTATGCAACATATTCATATTAAATTTATGTCACAAGCAAAGCACAATGAAAATTACTGCAAATAAAATAAAATTTGTCTTGTAAACGGTTTTTGCTTACTATTGTTCTTTTTGTAGTAAACAATGCTGCGGAAAGACCAAAACTTAAACCGAAAGAGAATTATTTTAAATAAAAACGTTGTCAGAGTACTGCGGTACCAAATTACTGTGAGAGAAAATCACCAGACAACTAACTAAAGTTTGAACATTACAACGCTTCTTTTCTCTGTCTTCATATCGGGTAGAATAAGGACAAAACGAATGTAGTTCACGCAGTCTCGAATGAACATTTTTGTCAATGAAAAATTTAATATACCACTAGCCTTCAGTGGTAACTATAAACAAGCTATTTTATATACGCATACTACGACTGAAAACACCCTTGGAAAATAATATTAGTGTAGTAAATGTTAAGTACTAGAAAATTTAGATAACGCTGCTAAGCTGTTTTGTACTTTGGTGCGCTAATTAATTTTTTACTTGACTTCGGTACTCGGTAGAAAAACAGACCTTTAAGCGTTTTATTTCCGAGATCAAACCTAGATTTCCTGTCTGAGTTTTATTTACACTTATATATACATTGCAAGAAATGCTTTCAGGGCAAGTGCAGATGTTAGCTGACCGCTAACTGCTAAATACAATTGGAGATAATGGTTACAGATTATGAAACTTCGTAAATAAAATCTTCCTTTTTTCATTCTATTGTTGTAAAGCATAAATCTAGCAGCGTGAAGGGTGGGTACATTTTGTGTTATGCTTTTTTTTCTGGGTTTTTTATGATGGAACGTCTAATACGTTATGCAGCATCTGGTAGACAAATGAAACTCTAATTATCTCAAAGCTTCAAAGGGATATTCACAAGAAATGTATTGTGAAGCGTAGAATTCAAATTGTTGTATTGTAATATTGCAGGCTGCTCATTAACAAGCTACCGAACTTATCATAATTTGTTAAATACTGAAACAAAACCTTCGAGCTTTTTCTTTTCTTTGAAGTTGTCAAATTATGAATAACGCAATGTGAAAATAAAAACAAGAACTAAAGAGCTAATAAAGAGAGGATCCTTCGTAGGAAGGTTCTTTTAATTCCAAAACTCTAGATACACTTTTATATATTATATATAATACGAAGGAAACATTTTATGTACATACGTATTTATTTTAATACCAATTGTAGTGATTTTCATGGGTTTCATAACGATATCGATTAATCATGTATCTTTGTTTTGTTATTGTGATTTTATGGCGACTTTATTTTCTATTGTAAATTGAATGCCCACATCAACATTTTTACATTATCGCAAAACCTTGTTACCCCTAAAAGATTCAATCTTGATTGTATGCAAATTGTTTGTCCACCAAATTTTATGCCAAAGGATTCAAGGAGACATTCTGTTTGAAATTTTTCTGAACAAACATATGTTCAAATTTGTCCGAGACTAAAACGGGGAACTATCTAAATTCAGACCATATTCACAGTGCAGCTATTTTTCAATTTTAGTAGCTTTAGTCGTTCCGATTTGCCCATCCTGTTCACACATTATTTGACCAAATATGTATGCAGCTCTAAAAAATATCTGAGCAATAGCTTTTCGGAAATATCTGAACGGTGTTGAAAGTTATAGAAAGAAATATGAACAGATTGTGGATTTTTTTATTTTTTTGAGTAGGGTTCAGGTTTTCATTTATTGTGGGCACGGGCAATCAGGGAATGCTTATGCAAAATTTAATCTTCCTATTTTCATTTTTGTGACTGGGACAATTCCTCATAAAAGTGGGTGAAACTCTTGGTTAGCAGACCACAAAAGAAAAAGTTGATTACAGATAGTTAAAGGTCTTCTTATGTAAATAAAAGTTACCGAAAATATTTGGAACGTTACAGGCCTTATAACCATTTTTTTCGTACCTTGGCAAGTATAAAATTGACCACCAAATACAATCATTAACATCATTGACGCATTCAATTCTCTCCATATCTCAGTTTACTTCAATAGGAAAACGCCTACTTGTATATACTTTCAGTCTAATTAAAGTGAGAAATGTAGCAGGCTAGATATAGCAGCGGTCTAGAAAACAATCTCAAGGGAGAACTTTAAATAGATGAATTCCGAAAGGCATTAAAATCTACAGAAATCAATTTTAGAAGTCCATGGAAAAAGTTCGCACCAATTGTGAGAAAAATTGAACATAATTCCAATTTTAAAACATAGCAATAACTTTTTCGATTCTTAAAAAAGAAAATGTGGTGTGCTGCGTGAAATTTTCAATCAAAATCATTTTCTCTTAGCGACATTTCCGACGTCGAGGAAGTGTCACTTACTATTAGCCAGGTAGTTTCAACCTCTCGCTATTGACGCCTCTTCGAATTGCTTTATTTTGGCAAAAAATTTCTTCTCTATTACAGTATCCCAGAAAAGTAGTAAGTCTTCGGAAAAAGATGGCAGTAACAATTTATGTAAATCTTTATCTGTTCTTTTTGCTCTCTTACTCCATTACAACTATTGACGTTTTTGTTGCGGTATCTTTACTGCTATTTGTTTTATTTTTATATAAGTTGTGAAAATAAGAAAACGTTTCTTAGGTAGTCATAATTTGTAACAATTTAAATATAACTATATTTGCTTTCTCACTTTCCAAAGGAGAGATGTGAGCGTTAGACGGGAACATTGGCGTAAACAAAAGCCTGATTGGATGGGAGTCATTTTCACCCAACGTAGACTGATAAGCTGGTGGAATGTTCTTTGAGAGTATTAGTTGGGTTTTCGTCCAAGATGTCTAGGAATTCATAATCTTCGAACTTTTTCATAAGCCGTTCTTTGTCATCGACATCAAAATCACCACTTTTAAATCGTTCAAGCCAAAACCAACAATTGTGATATGATGGAGGAGCATAACCACAAGCTTCTAAAAGTGTTTGATGAGCTTCGGCAACAGGTTTCTTCAAATCAAACTCCAAAAGTGATGAATATTGAAAATGAAATTTTGAGCGTCACACGATTATCATCTCTATGGGTTAAATAACTCAATAAAACTAAACAGAAAATTGTTACTTTATGTAGAGAAAAGCTTAGATCATCAAATTAAACCGTTGTGTACATTGATACTTCGCATACTTTGTCTAAATAATTTCAAATTGTAAAATGAATTCTTTATTTTTTCTTGTGTTCTTCATACAAAAACATATGATTGAGCAATTCCCACAACGTCTCCTGAAACTCGGCAAAGTTTAAGTCCCATCACGATAATGGGAATAACGCAACAGTATATTAGACCTTAGGGCTAAAAATTAAAATATTTGATTTCTGTATAGGACATTCTTATTGTTAAAATGCGAATTAGTGTTGATCAATCCAAACCAACATATATTTGTCACTTCTTTTGCCTGCTTCTGCTTTCAATCACTCAGAACTTCAAGGAAACGCGAAGCTAACTAAACAAGTCATATACATTGATTTAGTCGACTAACTGTCATGCCAAAATTTTATTGCGTATTTATAGAACAATTCAAACTAATAGCAGAGATATGTTCCTGTGGGAAATAATAAATTTATGCTTAAACTAACAAAATGCATGCATGCACTTATTTTACATACACGTATGCAATGTTAAAATCACTTAACAAACTGAAAAAAATTACTTAGATTACAATTGCTGACCAATGTAATTTGATGGCTTGTTTATTTTTGCATATACTCTTTTTGTTTTCTTTTTTTTTTAATGAAATTAAAGATTAGGTGTAGCAGCATATTACTCAAATATGATGATGAATTGATGTTTTTAATGTTGCATACACTTATGTATGTACAAGTGATGACGATATTACATATATTTCATGATGATAGGAGAAGCAATAGATATAATCATGTTTAAGGAGATTACGTAAAGAGTATTTAGAAAAATTATTTTTGAAATATATTAAAAAATGCAGCTCAAGGGACGTATATAATTTAAGGGATTCTGCAGCACTGCAAACTTGAATTTAAAAAAAGTAGCTTAAACTACATAATTGCAACTGAACAAATACTTCGAATATTTTGAAAAAACTAAGTTTTGCGTGATGAACAAATATTTAAATTAAAAAATTCCTTTTTCAGCCAAAGAGGGAGGAATCTCTTGTTGTTAACTTATCGCAAATATATATTAAGTATTTCTCTTAGAGTTTTTTTCTTAAAGATATTGTAAGAAATAGGAATGAAAATATTTGTACTTATGTTGCCTGCCATTGTCAAAAATCTTGTTTCAAGAAAAATTACTTATATTATAGATATGTTTTCTTCAAACTTCTTGTTTTATTTATTTTAAGCATCTGCCTGCAACCAGGAAAATGCCTTTCCTTGTACACATAATTTGCCCCCGGAGATTTTTTTACATTTTTAAGTGCTGCGATATCATTGAAGGAATCGCGACGGAACGTACAAAACGATATTCGAACAGCATCAACAGCTTCCTCCTAAACATTTAATTACCTAGCAGAAGCATTGAAAAGTTTCGACAACTTTTTGCCTCTCTTCAGTGATCATTTTGATGAAGCTTGTAAAGTCAGAAGGATGATGTGAATTTAATTTGGCCCCGGCCTAGCTCAGATGATTTCACAAAAATTAAAATATCAAAAAAGTAGTAAAAAAGTGCCTACACTCTGATCAACCTACCATCACTCACAATATTTAGCACTTAGTTACCTTACTCTAACATGACAGTTATTCTCTTAAAAATTTAAACAGCTTGGTTCGAAAACAAGTAAGAAAGTTATATTCGGCGGGGGCGACATCTTGCGTACCCACCACCACACTTTTCGTTTTCCATTCTCCAAATTTTTTATTTATTTATTATCCATATCGCTGGTATTATTAAGACAGAATTTATCGTGGTGTCTACCGTATTTATTTTAAAGTTAACCCATTTTTAGGTGGATAATATATTTTCATTTGAGGAATATGCAAAATAGTTTTAAACATTCTGTCTTGTTTATCTTATAACATAAATAAGCATAAAATCTTAAAAAAGCGAAAAAAAATAAAATTTTATTACTGTTAACTTTGTGTGGGCATAGCCGATTGGTTCCATTTTTATATGTACGGAGTAAAGTGTTCCGTAAAGTAAATGTGGAAAACTTCAACCTTCTAACTTTAATAATTT